GGGTGAGGGGAGTGCGGGGGCGTGCACAGAGCGAGGAGGGGGACCGGGGCATGCACGGCCTTTCGGAGCAGCCTTGACACTGCGCTCTCCTGGCAGGTGGATCTTGGGCACTTGTACGGGGACAACCTGCAGCGGCAGCACCAGCTGCGACTCTTCAGAGACGGGAAGCTGAAATTCCAGGTACCACCCGGCACGACCGAAACATCTCAGTCCTGGGCTTCAGGGGTATTGGAAGCCCACGTCCCTCTGGCACATCGGGGAGACTCCCAGGAGCATCAGGAGCCCCCAGCCCTGGTGCTCCATGGGGAGTGCTGCCAGAGCCCCCCTCAGCAGCTGCTGGCTGGAGGGAAGAGCTTTGGGGTCGAGCTGTTCTCAGTGCAGCCGGCATCCCGCTGTCAGGGCTGTATGAGGGCGGTGTGACCGTCCTGCTCAGTACTTGCAGGAGAGGGGCCGTGGTGCCTGTCAGGAGGCAGGTCCCAGCCGAGCAGGCTGCTACCAGGGTGGTTTTCTCCCCTCCTCCCTTTCTGCCATCCTGTTCTTGTCTCCCCAAGGTGGTGGATGGAGAGGTGTACCCCCCCACGGTCACCGATGCTCCAGTCCACATGGCCTACCCATCTGCCATCCCCAAGGAGAAGCGGCTGGCGATGGGGCAGGAGGTGTTTGGGCTGCTGCCGGGGCTCAGCATGTACGCCACGCTCTGGCTGCGCGAGCACAACCGGGTCTGCGACATCCTGAAACGGGAACATCCCACCTGGAGCGACGAGCAGCTCTTCCAGACGGCTCGTCTCATCCTCATCGGTGAGGACTGGCAGCGCCGCAGGGCATGGGCACCACGGAGCCCCATGGCCCACCCGCCAGGGCAAGCTCCCAGGGCTTGGGTATTGGTTGGACTCTGTTTGAGGCTGGTGGCCAGGCTGGCTTTAGAGGCTGGAGGAGTTTCTTTGGCAGCCTTCTGGGGATCATTTGCTTTGGTCCGTATAGCAAAAACTGGCTTTGGTCCATCAAAAGAATTAATTTTGAATAATTTCATCCAAATTTTGAATTAGTTCATTTTAATGTTCATTCTAAATTTCCTATAATCTCATGAAAAGCCTTTTTTGACCAAAATCCAGGAAAAAGCTGCGTCACCACATTATCTCTAAGCAGCATGTCAAGGTCAGCCTCCTCAGAAGCCATTTCAGTTTTGTCAGCCTGACCTTTGCCAGTGAAAATTGTCATTCCCTGAAAAATTCCTAACCAACTCAACAAGCCTGGAGTCAGAAAGCTCCCAGTGGTGGATGGGTGCTGGGATCTGCTGCCGTAGCACGTGGGTAACACTGTCCAGGTACAGAGCCAGGAGCTCCCGCTGCGGCCAGCTGACGGCTGCTTCTCTCGCCTCCTGCCAGGGGAGACCATTAAGATCGTCATAGAAGACTATGTCCAGCACCTCAGCGGGTACTACCTGAGCCTCAAGTTTGACCCTGAGCTGCTCTTCGGGACGCAGTTCCAGTACCGGAACCGCATCGCAGCGGAGTTCAACCAGCTCTATCACTGGCACGGGCTGATGCCCGACGCCTTCGTCATCCAGGGGGAAGAGTACAGCTACGAACAGTTCCTCTACAACACCTCCATGCTCATGGACTACGGCGTGGAGGCACTGGTGGAGTCCTTTTCCAAGCAGGTTGCAGGAAGGGTAAGGTCTTGCTCTCCCTTCCCTGGCAGTGCCGGAGCTGTGGGACTGCAGGAGGGATGCTGGGCGTACCGTGAAGGCGGTGCCATTACAGCAGTAACGAACACCCCGGTTTGGCAGTGGGTCTCATGTCACACATAGAGTCTTCCACCCAGGGCAGCACCTGGCAGCCGTGTCAGGAATCCTCCCCACAAGCACCGTAGCAAGGCCGGGCCTTGGCAGCCCCATTCGGTTGCTCTCTGTAGTAGACATCCCGGTGATGCCAGCAGCCTGTGGAAAGCTGGGATCTCCTGGCCCAGACCGGGCTGTGGAGCAGCCTGGACACAGGAGCAGCTTGCCTGGCACTGTTCTTTGCTGCCATCACATGGATGTTTTCTTCTAAGCAATTACATCTGCATTTCTGATCCTCCTTGCTTGGGCAAAGCAGCAAGGCTGAGGCACAGACCCGCTGCTTCTTTGGGTGTTTGGGTTCTCCTTGTGACCCCAAATCCCCGTAATCTCTCCTTCCAGGCCACTGGGTCACCATCCAGCCGGGGCTTCTCGTGCACCATTCCCTGACCTGCCCTGGGAACAGGACTGACTTTAGCCCAAGCTGCTCTACAGCTGGGGTTTTGGCACTGTCCAGTGATTCCTCCTCTTCTTGCTGCTGCGGTGGCTTGCTGGTCTCCATTACGCCCTGCCCAGGACACGGATGCTTTGGCGCGGTGGCTCCCCTGGAGCAGATGCTGGTGCTGCCTTGTGCCTTACGTGTGCTCCTCCTTGTCTTCTCACCCTCCAGATCGGTGGGGGAAACAACATCAACGCCAATGTCTTGAAGGTGGCTGTTGGGGTCATCAAGGAATCCCGGGAGCTGAGGCTACAGCCGTTTAATGAGTATCG